GTCGTCCTCGGCCCCGTCCTCCTCGTCAGGGCTCAGGAAGGCCAGCTCGTTCTCGTAGCAGAAGGAGCTGGTGCCGGGCAGCAGGAACTTGTTCTCCGCCAGGTCCCTGGCGCTGCAGCGGGGTGTGGCGGGCACCTCGTAGGTCTTGTGGAAGCGCGAGTAGTCGATCTTGTACTGGTTCTTCTCCTCAAAGAGGACGGGCTCGAAGCGGTGGCCCCAGAGGATCTCGCTGGCCAGGTAGGAGCTACGGGCCTGCGTGGTCATGGCCGTGGCCTCCACCATGCCCTCCAGGATCACCACGATCTCGAAGTCGTCCGCCTCCAGGTCCTGCCGGCTGATGCCGAACAGCGGGCTGGCCTCGTCGATCTCGTGCAGGATGGTGATGGGCGACACCAGGAAGATGCGGTCCAGGCCCTTGTCAAAGCCCACGTCCATGTCCAGCTGGTCCAGCGGGAGGTACTCGCCCTCCTGCGTGACCCGGGGCTTGATGAGCTGGGCCCGCACGTGGGCCTCCACAATGTGGCTCTTGCGCAGATTTCCCACGCGCCACATGAGGCAGAGCCGGCCGTCCCGCAGCGCCACCACCGCATGGTGGCTGAACAGCAGCGTCTGCGCCCGCTTCTTGGGCCGGGCCATCTTGGCCATGATGGCGCCGATCATGAAGGAGTCGATGATGCAGCCCACGATGGACTGTGCCACCACCATGAAGACGGCCACAGGGCACTCCTCGGTCACACAGCGCAGCCCGTAGCCGATGGTGGTCTGTGTCTCGATGGAGAAGAGGAAGGCGGCCATGAAGCCGTGGACTTGCAGCACGCAGGGCGGGCGGCCGCCGGCCTCCGCTGGCTCCAGGTCACCGTGCGCCACGGCGATGACCCAGAAGATGATGCCGAAGAGCAGCCAGGAGGCGAGGAAGGCCAGCGAGAAGAGCAGCAGCATGTAGCGCCAGCGGATGTCCACGCAGGTGGTGAACATGTCAGCCAGGTAGCGCTGTGACTTCTCGTCCATGTTGGCAAACTCGATGTTGCACTGGCCATTCTTCTTGACGAATCGGTTCCGGCACCTGCGCCGCGTGTGCACCTTGCCGTTGCCGAAGCCATTGGTGCCCGACATTGTGACCAGGTGCAGCCCGTCCTCCGACAATGACACGATGCTGTAGGGGGTGGCCCGGCCAGCTGCGGTCATCCCGGGCGGGGGGAGGTCCTGGCTCCTCGCCCCACGCCGGCTCCCAGAGGGGCGGCTCCTGCAACAGAGGGGACAGCGGACGTTCCACACAGGCCCAGGAACCAACCTCCTCCCCCCCGCCCCATCTCGGTCCCCAGGCGTTGCTGGACCCCGCCCGAGCTGGCACATGCAAGGCGCTCACGGTGCTCACTGCCTGTGTGAGCCGCTCCTCACACACAGGGAGGGCAGGCCACACGCTCAGCAGATGCTCCCAGTCATCCAGTCAACAGCCCCAGGAGCAGCTGCTCCCTCTGATGGAGATTCAGAGGCTGCGTGGCCTCCCCGAAGCCACGCAGCCCATAAGCAGGAGAGCTGAGGTTCAAACCACTCTTATCTAACGCAGGGCTTCCCGTCATGGGGCCCAG